AAAAAAAAAAAAAAAAAAAAAAAAAGAAAGAAAGAAAGAAAAGGAAAAAAAAGAGAACGAAGGGATTTATTTCCTCTTTGTTATGGAGGAACGAGTTCTTCGTGTAAGTTTATTCAACTTGTACATAACCACCGTATCCTTGCCCTTCTCTGATCCCTCGTCCCTTTCTTCTGCGGCGCGTAGTGCGTATTGATTCATCGATCGTTGAGGCGCCGTGTTCACTTGGTTAACGTTTAGCACTTAAGAAAGAATAATTAAGTGAGAGTAATTAAGTATGTAATTCTTAGAGTCCCTATTAAAGTATTTCACAATAAACGTTGTACTAAGAAACTAAAAATTTCTTTTTTTTTTTATTTTTATCACCTATTTGATACACGAAACACTTTTATATATGTGTGAAAATAATTTTTTAATCACGTGAGAAGTTTTATTGACATAAATAATAATACATGTATTCTTACTTTTCTTAAGAAATAATTTTTATGGTAAAATAAGTAAACTTAGTAAAAAAAAAAAAAAAAAAAAAATGGATAAAGTAAATTTCACTTTTTTCAGCGATTAATTTAATATTAAATTTAATATTAAACTACTGTAAAAAATAAATGAAAAGAAGAAATCAACTTTCGAGATTATTCAATGTGCAAAAGTCAGTTTCGAAAATTTTTAGATAACAGTTAATCTCGAAATAGAATCGAGTGAAAGACGATTTAGTTGTCGGACATGATGACACATTCTCGATAGCCTTGAAAATCGTCGATAGACGCCAACGTTAAGATCGTAAAATGTCATTAATAATTCGTCCTTTCCTCACCTGCACAGAAGCCCGAAGATAACTTTCGATTTCGGAAACATTCCCAAATCACGAGTCGTCATTTAAAAAAATAATTCCTTGCACTTTCTTTGATTGGCAACATTTCGATATTTTTCCCATAAGAATTTTATTCTGCTTTCCTATAAGAATTTCTCAATTGCCGAATACATCGTACATCTTAACAACAATAAGAATCTCAATTTTTGCATATCTGATAGATATTTCAAATATATTTTTATTTTCAAATTTATATTTTATAATAGGAACATACTTAATATCAGCGTGAAGTTTTTGAGAATCTACTAGTGACGATACAGACAAGAATAATAAGTGAGAGAAGGATAGAGATATGATTAAAATATGAGAATCAACGCCATCTTCAGAGTGTCGCAAATGAAACACATATAAAAAAGGAGAACAAATAGAAGAAAAAGGATAGAAATAGATATATAGAAATAAGAATTAACTATTAACTCCATCTCTTGAATGTTAATGACATTTTTTCGAAAGTATGGTAAAGTAGAATAAGAATTTAGAGCGCCATTTTCTGACTAATTTTAAAAAAGATAATCTAGTCGATAGATGGCAATGATCTTTAATTCTTAGTTTTTTATTCTAACTTTGAAAAAGGGAAAAAAAATGATCTAATTTATTTTTTAAAAAGAAATAAAAAATATACTTTAGATAATTGGTTTAAGAATAAAATATTACAAGTTATCAAATTAAAAATAAGTAAATATTATTTTTAATTCTAAAAAGAAAGTGCAATATATAAATAACGTGTATAAAATGTATGTATATTTTTAGATAATAAACATTTTATATTTGTTTTGTATATAATAAATTTTGTTAAAGTAAAGTTATATGTATAAGATATATAAATAAAAATATATACATTTTTTTTTATATATTTTTGCATTCTTTAAAAATATGACAGCTGAGATAAATATAAAACAGGTAAATATGTTAAATTCTATAATTAGTATTAAGTAAAATGGTGAAAAAATGTTATTTTGAAAATAATATCTAAAAAAATAAATATAATAATAATAAAGATAAATTCAAAAAGTAAGTACATTAAATTCCAAAAAAAAATTCATATGTTGCCTTGTATTATATTTTTCAATATAAAAGTATGACAAATTTCAACAATGATATCAAATTCTTAAAATTTCTTGCAAATAATATCAAATTCCTTTTTGAATACTTTCTACATTTTCGAAATCTAGACTTAAAATTTTCTTTTGCAAAGAAAAATTTGTTTCTTTATTTAATTATAAAAACTTTCGAAAATTTGTAAAAATTTTATATATATAAAATTTTAAGCTTCGATCTTAAGGAAGAGAAATAGAATTTTCTTTTGCTAAAAAAAAATAATAATTTATTTATTTATATTTTTTGTATTGTTAGTTTTGATTTTGAAAGAAATTCTTGGAAATAATATCAAATTTCTGAAATTTTTTAAATTCTTATAGCTTAGACTTTATATTACGTGAATATAACCTAAAAATGTCTCGCAAAAATTTTTCGATATATTCAAGAATAAAAAATTTACTTATCTTTTGGTTATAACTTGTTAGTTAATTTTTATAATTGTTATTTTATTAAATATTTTTCAACGGCATTATTCTCTAAAAATATTTATCATTCTTATATTTTTTCAATTGATAGAAATGGAAATATAAATTTTATTTAAAAAATAATTTATTTTATATGTTTATTCTATGTGTTAAAACATTTAAATATATAGATAAATTAGAAAAGGATATAAAAATATATTAAATGTTTCATCTTTAATTTAACAAAGTATATTTTGCCCATGAATTTTTATATTATGGCATCATTTTTCATGAATGGAAAATCATAATTTTCCATAAAATGCATTATAAAACTGATAAAACTTTATGTGACAAGTGCATGCTATTTATACATGATAAGTTTCACTTATTCTAATTTTTAGTTTTAAGATAAGGCTTAAAACTTTAAAATCACGATTTGTA